CTGTTCTCCCTATGTTGTATCTCATGACACTTGTCTCTACTATATATTCATTCTCCTTATATTGTATCTCAAGACACTTGTCTTTACTATGTATCTGTTCTCCCTATGTTGTATCTCAAGACACTTGTCTCTTCTATGTATCTGTTCTCCCTATGTTGTATCTCATGACACTTGTCTCTACTATATATTCATTCTCCTTATATTGTATCTCAAGACACTTGTCTTTACTATGTATCTGTTCTCCCTATGTTGTATCTCAAGACACTTGTCTCTTCTATGTATCTGTTCTCCCTATGTTGTATCTCATGACACTTGTCTCTACTATGTATCTGTTTTCCCTATGTTGTATCTCATGACACTTGTCTTTACTATGTATTCATTCTCCTTATATTGTATCTCAAGACACTTGTCTTTACTATGTATCTGTTCTCCCAATGTTGTATCTCACGACACTTGTCTCTTCTATATATCTGTTCTCCCTATGTTGTCTCTCAAGACACTTGTCTTACTATGTATCTGTTCTCCCAATGTTGTATCTCACGACACTTGTCTCTTCTATATATCTGTTCTCCCTATGTTGTCTCTCATGACACTTGTCTCTACTATATATTCATTCTCCTTATATTGTATCTCAAGACACTTGTCTTTATTATGTATCTGTTCTCCCTATGTTGTCTCTCAAGACACTTGTCTCTTCTATGTATATGTTCTCCCTATGTTGTATCTCATGACACTTGTCTTTACTATGTATTCATTCGCCTTATATTGTATCTCAAGACCCTTGTCTTTACTATGTATCTGTTCTCCCTATGTTGTATCTCACGACACTTGTCTCTTCTATGTATCTGTTCTCCCTATTTTGTATCTCAAGACACTTGTCTCTACTATATATCTGTTTTCCCTATGTTGTCTCTAATATATATCTGTTTTCCCTATGTTGTCTATGTTTGAGGTTTTCCTCAAGAGACGAATGTTGTCCAACTAACAAATCATTGAAGGATCACACGAACACTACTTATTTCAAGCTTTGTCGGATATTCTTAACCCTTGGGGTAAGTGAAGATTGCTATGAAAGTTAGGATAATAAAATGTACTTGATGTATGAGCACATGTTCTCAAAACATTCATTCTCCTGCTTAATCAGTGGTCAGATTCCCAGACAACGTTTTTGCAATATCAATGGAATTGTGTGTTTGTTTGTGACTTATAATAATTATATATCAAGGTTAGACGCCCTATTAACAGCGAATAACATTTGCAGATAATGTTTTGTAAGATGCAAGATACTGTAATTTGTAATGGCAGACTTGGCTTTGAAACTTGGTACTCTAAATTCACAAGAAAACAACTTATTTTAAGCTTTGTCGGAACTTCTTAACCCTGGCGTGCAGCTGTTCTGAATTTTGAAGATTGCTATGATAGCCAAGATGATAATTCGAATAGTTCTTTGACCAACTAGGCATTAGCAGTAGTAATCATTTATTGGATTACTATCATTTGGTGTCATGCTGTACTGAATCCAAACAATATATTTAGTCTGGCTCTTGCGTCTGGAGCGAACCTGACAACGGATCAGGTATTGGGAGTGCTGATACACCCAATGTTCATAATCTCCACCCATTACTAAGATGTCCACTGATATAGCCTGGAGATAATGATAACTGGTAGGTGCCGCACGTGATAGTCTTCAAATGCTCCAAATTGAGTTCTTAAAAAGTGAATGAAGATGCAACCATCTTTACGAATTCTGACTTTGCTCTCTTTTAGAGAGCTGGTTTTGTTTTCACCCTCTGAGCCAAACAGTTTGTTTTTGTAAGTCGAAACTGTATCTGTTGTTCGAGTTCTCTGTTTTTTTCTGACAGTTTCAGGTGATCTTTTGTAAATTGGTCCCCGTATCCCATTGAGTCATGCGGTCACAATCTTTAGCACTTCCTCAATTATGTCGGTAAAGCAATTTGATATTAGTAGAGTTCTAAAAAATGTCCATGATAAGCCTCTACAATACATCGGGATTAAGCAATTGTCCTGTCAATGGCAGCCTGTAGATCAGAGTGTTGGCTCTGACCAGGCGGAAGATATGTGGGCATACTGGTATTAATTCCAGATGCCTCAAACATTGGCAGAACATCTCTAAAACCACGATCAACGACTACATTGTCGCCTTGCTCCAACCACAGGAGCTTGTCTATGATGTTTTTTTGTGATGCTTGCATCATTTTGGCTTCCAGAGAATGGTCCAACTGTGTCCAAAAGGTAGCCATCAGGTAGAGTTTTGCTCAGGAATTTAAGATAATTTCGCTTCTTCTTGCCACAGTAAGACATTCTCTGAAGCTTATGGTCATATTTTTTTCGAATATATGTACCATCTAGTATAGCAGTCACTTTGTCTCCAAAGAATGTTTCTGCGAATACAGTATTGTATGAAAAATTCAAAATTCAGTTTCTGACTCTCTTTTGCGTAGATACCTTATGTAGCACTTCGAACAAATACTTATATATTCATTTGAGCAATCTATGCCACTTTTAGTCAGTTTATCCATAAGGCATTTATAATGTGGATTTGATTTACATTTCTTGTACCTTAACATTTACAAGATTTCTTGAAGATACGATGGCAACCTTCACCGATTCATTTACTCTACATTATGAGATGGATATTAGCAAATGCGTATGAAATATCCCCTAAAAGGAACGTAAAAAAGAAAACTCTGATGATAAAATGTAAAACAAATGATAACAAAATGTATAAGAACAAATTGTAAAAAGTGGCAAGGATATTACATTTAATTTCAAAATTGATTGTTAACAAAAACTTCAATAATCACACCAAGTGATGAAGCAAATCTGAATTTGAAATTGTTTGTGACCAAACATGCACTTAAAGGTATATTGTAGGCTTGCAACGAATTCCAGTACCAATTACCTGTAATCAGGTGCATTGCGTCCTTGTGGACGTCAGTGAGGTGTCGTAGGCCCTCACCTTTTTGGGTACACAGGGTACTTTATTGTGCGAAATGAATACTTTCCACCACTTTTTTTGGACTGAACATATTTGAAATAACACCACTTCTTCATACTAAAACATGTTTGGTATACAAGAATTATAAAAATGAAAAATCCTGTATTTTACACTAAATCTCAACAAATGTTCGATTATCCACACATTCTGGGTGATAAATTTATTATTTCACATGAAAGAAATTGTTCTCTCACAAGAATTAGGATGAAAAAATATATTCAGGGTGATATTTCATTTTTCGACCCCCATGCTGTAATAAGGTTAATTAATCATCTAAATAATAGTATAGTGATTCAAAGTAAAAACTCCGGATGTATAAGGGATTGAAAAAAGTTAATAGAGCAGCATAAATTTCGTACCATTTCTAAAACGAAAGTTATGAACGGGCAGGCCCCTATTTAAATTTTAACATAGCTGGAAAAAGTCCATTTGGGCCGCAATCTATACCTATGAATCAGTCGATATCGCTGCAAAAGCAAAGCCGGTCGGGTAGCCTACCGGTTTAACATTTGTCCTTAAATCAGCTTGTCAATTAGACATAATGCGATATCCCATTGATGTGTCCAGTAAACAACACTGCTAAGATTGTATTTGCAACATATGTTCATCAGGACATCTACCGAGAAACCCTTTGAAACCTTCTATTGATCATTTTAATAGTAGTTGCTTTTATGATTGGCACTCATTTTTCGTATGTTTACTTACTAAAGATCTCTTTGTGTACAGGCATTGATTTTTGTACCTAGTCATTATTTAATGAAATAATAGTTATCGATAAGGTCTCCCCGGCCAATCGTCCAAGGACAAAATACACAATACTAAGCATCCTTACCGTTGAGTTACTCATTAAATTCTATAAACGATTATTCATTCTAATATCAAATATATTTCAAAAAGGCAAAGAAACAATTGAGAATATTTTAACTTAGGCTTTATTTTGGTCAAACTATAATGCATATCCATGTAGGAAATGAAACAGATTGTATTTGTGATTCCTTTACACGTCAACAAGTGTAAACGGAGAGTTTAGAACACGTGAATAATCGGAGTATTTAGGACACGTGAATAATCGGATTGTTTTAAACGTTTCCTTTGTAAGTGAATGATAATATTTAATTGTTTTTCTGTGATATAATGTCGCCAGAACTTGGTTTAGATTCTTCTAAGTAAACAAAAGACCAATGTGGAGTACAAAGAGCGTCATAATGTAGATATCTAGTTAATCTACCTAGAAACACCAAAACATGTTTAACACTTTTGGATACTTAAAGTGATCAAAGGATATATATCACGATGTCAAAACCGCTGTGATATCGATAATGACCGAAGGATACATATAATTCCATGACGTTACATGAACAATCACAGAACACCAATAATGACAGTAGGATACAAATCAAGATGTTGCGTCCACTTTACTAACAGCGATTATCACAAGATATACAACACGTAACTGTAAGATACAAATAGTTCATCCGTCTTAATTAATGCTCACGGGTTTAAGTTATTAAAGCTGATGAATACAAAATAGATCTAACTTCATTATGCAGTTCATACCAGGTACAATTATTTTGGAACAAAGGATTCAGTCGAAGTTTATTACTGTCTTCCTCCCAGCTAAAGTGAGTATCGAGATATACATAACTGTGTATTTTACCTGGAACAACTTCGGGATAAAGGCTATATCGAGATATACATAACTGTGTATTCTACCTGAAACGACTTCGGGATAAAGGTTATATATCGAGATATATAACACTGTGTATTTTACCTGGAACGACATTGGGATAAAGGTTATACCGAGATATGTAACACTGTGTATTTTACCTGGAACGACATTGGGATAAAGATTATATCGACATATATATAACTGTGTATTCTACCTGTAACGACTTCGGGATAAAAGTTTTATCGAGATATAAGGACTCGTTTATTTAACACGATTCAATGTGTATTAACAATTATATTTTTAACGGTCACGATTGATATGTACTACACAATTAACAATCACGTAAATAATTGATGTTAAATGGTCTTCTTTTCAGTATCAATGTGATCGGCACATCACATTGAACAGCTGGCTCTTAATGATTGGTTACTTACGAGCGATTGTTAACGTTTACTCTGAATGGTATGGACAATTGTGTCTCCACTAGACACTGCACTGCTTCCCTTGGACACTGATCGCGTGACAGCTTGTGTCAGCCGCTGGACAGTACATGGTGTGGATGATTGCATGTCTTCCACCGGACATTGGTGTCGTGTTATGATAAATATTTTTTAACCTTTTACTTCATTCTTTTTCAAGTAACAGCGGACTCACACCATGCTTGGATTGTGTGGCAGGATGGGGAGCTATAAGCGGTACGTGTTTTTTTATCAAAAGTTTCATCTTTGTGCCTGAAATCATACTGCTACTCTTAATTGTTTATCTTAATTGTTTAGTGTCACAAACTAAATTAAAACAGAAGCGGGTCTCATAAATCAACTTATGGTCCGTTTTATGATTTGACCATCAAATACAATTAGATAATCTACAAACTATTACGTGTTATTAACACTGTGTCAATCTATATTAACCCAAGTATTAGCCGATATTTGCCCATTCTCTTTTGTCTATGACAATCCATGTTTTAGAGAAATCAAACAATTATACCATAAACCCTACACTATAGAGTACACCTTACTATAGAGAAAGAGAGGGACAACACAAAAAAACCTCTTGACACTGCTGTGCAATATCGATGACCGCGTGTGAATACTGTAGGAAATATGTCAAATCAAGTCATACATATGTACTTGGCCTTATTCTCTTTAAACTTTTTCTAATGTTTGTTTTATTATATTTGTAATTTTTCAATATGCTCCATGTTTTTTTTTGCTTTATTCATATTTTGCCATCGTTTTATCGATTACGAGTTGTAAATACGGTTTTTTAACTTCGATGTTCTCTATTTTACATTCCTCATAGAAGACGTAGTCATTGACATTGATATAACTAGAGCCCAACCGAATACAATGTTACGTCAGACCTCATGAAAACCCTAAGAAACCACTTTGTTCGAACCACACTGTATTCGCTGTCTCGCTCTGTATTACGGACATCTCAAGATAAATACTACTTTAACTTTCCTGATGATATTTGAAAACTTGTTTTGGAGTTTTGATAATGTGGCATAACTTCGACCCTTTTAAGCTACTCTGCAATACGCAAATACGGAATATACGTTGAAGGAAACTAAAAAAGTATCAGTAAAACCCTACAATAAAGTACGTCGAAGCTGTAATACCCGCTAATACCAGAGGCAGCAGCACCCTATTCACTTTTGACTGTTTTTCCTGCATCATGTTCTTGTTCTACATCCACACACGACTGTATTCCAATGTAACTCACAATCTAAATTTTATCCAAAATGCAAGGTACGAAACTTTTCACGAAGTGTTGAGATACACCAACTGTCAAATGGGAGGTGAATCTCAACATCCTGTAGGATTCTATGGGATACTACGCACGGTGATAGAAAAACAAAAGCATGCTCAATTTGTTTCGCTTTCAGGGTGTGTTAACTCGCAGTTTGAAATTAAAATTGAACGCATAACTTAAGTCTGTATTTCTTTATTCCAACGTTCGCACTGGTCTATCTCGTGCCGAACTGGGAGAATACCTTCAGTGTCTTATTGTGAGAGCTTTCAAAGAAAAGGGACGGCAGTATAGATAGTTATGGTAGTAAATTATTTTAGAGCATATTTTAAAAAGAATGTGGCAAGATAAATAAAAAGTGCAGAGGATAAAATCATATATACCATGTTTAACTTAAAAAAGACGCAACAGACTCTTAGCAACGTTTACTTACATTATGACCAACAGCGACGGACTACTATTAATGTTGTATGATAAAGTGACGATTTCGATTTTCCGATGGTCAACTTTCCTTTTCTGATAGCGACATCCCTACATTCTCAAAACTACCGTGTTTACATCTTGCAGTATACTAACGGACATGTTCATACGATTATATTTACATTTGGACTGCAATGCCACTATTTAAACCAAGCAAATAACGCTTCGGGTCATAATACTAATAACCGAAAGTGAGTAGTAATATGAACGTGACCTAAACAATGCGGAAGTCACGTTTGATTCTCATTCGGGATTTCTGTACGAGAGGTTGTATTGAAGACACACGAATCCATGGTGACAATAATAAAAAAAAAGTCATTAAAATAGCATTTCTGTGTGAAGTTTTGATGGAAATATAATTTTTAAGATACAAAAATAATGTTAACCGGTCAGTTCCGCCATTTGTAGACCCTCAGCGTCGTGTCCCGTATATCTACCTTCCCCGCGTAGTCTGAAATGTCGCTTTCAGTATCACACGGCTCGAATACCACGAATGAAGATAAGTATGTTGTTCCTGCATTCACAATGCAGTCTACTAGCAATATAATGTCTACTCCGGAGTTCTTTGCCCGCTCAACATTCAATAATTGTGAATTTAATTTCAACCAACTAACTAGATGACGACATGTTTTCCCACCGCGACCGAATTACTGATTTGTGAATTTCACAGACATGCCTCCTAGGTGTGACGTAATTAACGTGCGATGTTAATAGGCAGTAGTACTATAAAATAAAACTATAAGAATTGACATAAAACTTCTCTTATATTTGTTGTTTTCCACGGACTATGTTGGGCAATTACCATCACAGGACAAGGCGCGTGCGTAGGGGCTATTCAAACAGGTCAACATTCCAGAGGATATTGGCGGGATATTCAAATATTCTATATCGTAATTATTTTGTTAAAGGACATTAACGCATGAAACTGTAAATGTAAGTATTAAACTGCTTTAAGATGCCATCCATAGGCAATAGGAATGTCCACTGCATTACAGGAAAATAAAAAAAAGAAACGCTATCGCGGTTCTTGTCATTTTCCTGTAAAGCAGTAGGCATTCATATTGCCTATGCATGACATCCTAAAGCAAATTAATGCTATAGTAACGGCTCTGACCGGTGAGATCCAAATGAAAGACACAGCTACTTAGAATTGACCAAGGCGCTTACACAGGTTTTCTCCTACTGGCCAAACCTGTCAATTTATTGGGGTAAAGTCATTCTTTTTTCAAAACTGGCTGACTTTGTGAAACACTCTTCGGTGTGAGGTGATATTATTGATTTAACTGCACGTTCTGTATATACATCTTACTGTGATAACACCCTGGTTAATGATGACAAAATATATCGTCAAAAACTGCATTAAGCAGATTTTTTTCGGACACAAGAAAATATTTGTTAACATAGTGGCTGCATCATAAATTTTCTGATTGATTTAGTTTATAATCTTCACTCTGTAAGTAGCCCTATACTATTCAAGTGCATTACACCATAATAGAGTAGCATAACACATGAGGGAAAAAAACGTTAGATGTAATATAAAAGTCAAAGTCAGAATAGGTTGACAGCTTGTTTGAGACCTTAAGTATTATACTCAGGTCGAATCACCGTCGGATGACTGCTTTCACAATACTAATTTATGGTAAAATAAATAATAAAAGTCAAAATCAGAATGGGTTGACAGCTTGTTTGAGACCCTCAATACTAATGTATGGTAATATAACAAACAGAGACTCAAATCATGACGACATAATACTAGAGACAACCTAAGATGGTTTTAAGCAGGTGTGATTATATACGTAACAGTGGGAGCTTAAGTAAGCTTTGATGGGTGTGAAAGTTGTTTGAATATTTAGCCTCCATTTTTGACTGTGCGCAGCTTCCATTGTATATGTAAGCGCCTTTTGTTGTTTGTATACGTAGTTTCTTTATGTAGTCAATATTTCATGATCGACTGTATAGTTAGTTTAAACATATTTTTATTGTCGTAAATAAGGACAATTAGGATTGAACACAAGTTTTGCCAACTTAGTAACGCCCTCTCCTTAATACATCATGTTGTATAATACATAATGGACAGCAGTGATTTAACTTTATCCGATCATATATAGTAGAAACAGCGAGGGAAGGAAATCAAGAAGAAGAAGGGTAAAAGATAGGTAGGATCATCCCCTAAATATATATATAATATGCAAACCCATGTAAATGTCTAAAACAATATTTGGTTAACAGTAATCTGACTGGCTGGAAAAACATCAATCAGCACCTTCATAAACTGTGTCCATCACATTCCATAAAGCTGTATTCTGTAGATCCACTTGTAACCGTTCCGTGTTCTCAAAGCCCTTCCTCCATACCAGCCAGATCAGATACACAATTATTCAAAATTATGTAAACATTGATATTCATACTATATTATATTATATTTATTTCACAAAGTATAAAGGATATTAGAAACGAATAAAATAAGAGGGGGGGGGGGGAATGCTCAAAATGTCAAAACCTGCCAGTACCGTCGATATAGACTTGTACCGGTTCTTGCAATGTTTGAGTTTGCCTCATTATTTAAATCTATATCACCCTTTAGAATTAGGTCTAATGACATATCTCCTAGATACCATGCTAAATTCTGCAATAAGGAAAGGCGTCGGATGTGGTATTTAGGGCATGTGAAGAAGAAGTGATACAAGTCCTCGCACGTGTGTCCACATTCACATTGTGCTGAAAAAGTAAGATTAGCCCTAAAAAGATCATAATTGAGAGTACTTGCCCTGTTTCTTAATCTACAATGAAGAATAGTTGGCCTACGCGGACCAAAATTGAGAAAGCATGGATTACATTTAGTTATTACATTATTCAACTTATGTATATTTGAGTTGAACGAGTTCAGAGTTTGGGAGTGTCTTATGGTTGTTTCTAAATTATTCCAAAGATCAACAGTTGAAGGAAAGAAAGAGTTGCGCATAGTTTGGAGTCTATATCGTTGCTGCCGCAATTGCTGAGAATTTCTTAAATTATAATGAGTCAGATCTCCAATATTTTGAGGTAGGATATTACATAAGTATGAGGGTGCAGTGCCATGTTTTATAGTATAAAGGAGGGACAGTTTTCTGATTTCTCTTCGTTTTGACAATGGTAGCCACCCAATTTCTGCATATCGAAATTCGTTTTTTGTGTACATTGGTAATCCTGTGACAATACGCATCTAGTTGTAGTTTTTCAAGATTATTTGAATTGATAGCACCACAGTTATCCCATACCTCACAGCCATACTCTAATATTGGTCTAATATATGTTAAATACAATTGTGTATTTTGATACTTTCTTGATGATTTCATCTATATGCTTGGACCACTTGGCATCACTACTTAGTAATACACCTAGGTGCTTATGTTGATCGGTTATTTCAATAGGGATGTTATTGAACGTAAACAGAGGTTGATAGGGTAGATTTGAAAAAGATACT